AGATAGATAGATAGATAGATAGATAGATAGATAGATAGATAGATAGATAACATGCAATATGCGGTCCACTTTTCCCTTTTTAACATAGCCACAAATAAAAGCATTTAAGAAATTAATTAAATACTTGAGTGCTTGCTTAATTCCTCATTGAGAAAGGGTTCTCTGGCACTGTGGTACTGTAGATATTTTGCACGTCTAATGATTATATTCCTAAGTACTTCTTGAACAATTGAGATAAACCAACCCCAACCTTCAGAATGCATTATAATCAGAGGGCATTGCTAGGGGCAGGAAGTGACTACAGAAAACTCATTTATCTAGTTTTCATCCCATTTACTGCATGAGATAACATCACCAAGCTGCTTGTTTCCTTGGCTTTATCAGTGAAACCAAAAATACTTCAGACAATGCCTAAAGTGAGGATTTCATTTCAGTTGTTTAACAATCTCCGTATGCTACATTTCATTGGCTACAGTTAATATTGGGATAAGAGACCATCTGGAAGTTGTAGAGATAAAGGCTTCCTCCCTACAGATGTCTATGTTGTACATGCAAACGTGTGCTCACACTGTTGACACAGTTGGCTTACTTGTATAAAACTAGAGATCTGCTTCAGATCTAAAGCTGAAAAGATCCTTTGGAGCCCCCAAAACATACCTATTTAAGAAGATACCAACAGCATCCCCACCTCTGCTCAAAAGCACATTGTCACCCCCTTCAACTGGAATTGCACGCTACTGTGCACGTCCAGAAAGCATACAACATCTTTCAGGAACCACCAACAGATGTTGCATGTCTGCCCACACAGACTCTGAAGAACCTTTTGGCTTCAGATCCAAAGCATTACACATGCCTATATAGAATCCTAAAGTGTCCATAAAACCCCAAACAGTACAACACACCCATAATGTTAAGAAAACTGTGCAACCCTTGCATTAGAGTAAGGTCTCTTTGCAAATAGTAATGCATTTGGGAAAGAGAGAGAGAGTGCGGGGGGGGGGGACACACAAAAACTTAAATTGGCACCCAGAAGAATGTAATCCTGCTTTCAGGTGGCATGCCTCTTCAGAGAAATCATTTTCACTCAGGAGCTATGCTGAAAAGTTTCTCACTTTGGTCCCTTGGCACAATTTTGATACAGAAAACATTGGGAGAAGAACCGTCATCAGATCTAATACAGATCTGATGCCATGTGTAAAGCATGAGCAAACTTTGGGTATTGGGAAATAATGTGATACACGGATGCCTTTTCAGATGGCGGCAGCCTTTTCTCTCTAATAACACATAATTTTGCATGTTGCCATTAAACCAATGATTTTAACAAAAGGTTACTAGGATCTAGGAAATTGCACTTCTCTCTCTTAATAAATTAATTGAATTGTGTCCTAGAGAGTTTTTGGCTTCTAATCACATCAAAGAAATAAATAGGCCGATGTGATAGAAAGCAACACAACACGCCATTTGGATAACCCTGCTCCCTACCACCACCTCGAAATTCATAATATATATGCTTACCTGCATAGAATTCTGGACTATAGACTGCACCAACGACTGGATTTAATTTCCAACCTGTAGTAAAGACAGGAAACCAAACTTGGTAAATTTGAGATTATGGCATGACATTCTAATTATTGCAGGTTATGACTGTACAGTTTCTCTTTTATATCTTTTAAAGAATTGTATGATGTCCTTCAGAATGAATCCTTTTCCAGAATATCTTTTAAACCTTCTAAAAAAATCATGATACACACACACAGTCTTTGAGTGGAAGGAACCATTAAATGAAGGGGAAATTTCTGCATCTTTTATTACAAGACCACTTTGTATCAATACACTTTTTCTTCAATACCTAGATATAATTTCAGCCTATTTCATGAAAAGGAGATTCTATTTATCCACTTAATGCAAGTCTGAGTAACTCTGCAAAAAGAAGAAATTTTTGATGAACAGAGGCAATCTTCCTGGTTTTAAATTGCAAGGGCTTAGAAGGACTTTGCTCCCACAACACACTAAATCCTAAAACTGGATTAACAAAACGCCACTGGTGTCTTTACATAACATGTTCTGCCCTAATAAATCATTTTATGGCTTAGCATAATGGCTTGGTTCACACAACAATTCCTGGGTTCATACATAAATGAACTAGCCCAGCTCTGACTTCTGGAATATCTTTTCCATAAAAGAAGTCCACTTACCCTCTTTTGTTAGATATCAGACAAAAGGCCATGAACCTTCCATTTCCCCAAGTTTTTAATGAAGAGAAAAGCAGAACATCTTTTACATGGATTGTCTGCCTATTGTTTTACTGCAGACATTTTAGGGCACAATGTGAACTTTATTTTGTTGTAAAAATAAATTAAAAGAAAGTTTAGCAGGGTTGGAACAGGTAAGCACTTGGCTGAAAGACTGCCAGGACTGGAAGCCAGACTGGGAAACTGTGTGTGTGTGTGTGCGTATTTGTGTTAAGGGGTAGGGCAATGGCAAACCGATAAATATTGTAAATCTTAGGTGTGGCCATTGGCCATCTGGGGGTAAGATTTCCTTTACAAAATAAACAGGGCGTTTTATTATGTTTTTAGAAATGTTGAAGCTACTGTCATACTGAAACGGGGTAGGCAACCTTTTGGTGGCGAGGCCACAATGACTGTAATATTGGCATAGACCATGATAATGAGAAGGGGATACATACCATGTAAGTTGATCAGACCAGCATCTTCATTTTTATTCCACTTGGGGGTGGAGGCCATTGTTTTGTAAACCAAGTTAAGCTTATTTTAGAGCTAGGCTTATTGTAGAGCTACACAACAGTTTTTGTGTGTTTCCTGACTTGAAATGCCAGGAAACTGCTGCTGAGTTTTACAAAAGTGGTCAGAAAAGACTCCTGAGGGTTGGGGGTGCTAGCTGCTTACCCCTTTTCTAAATGATGCATACAATTTGGTGTATCCGTTTTACTTACACCATTTTGTCTGCCTATTCCAGACTGTGCAATAACCATACAATTAAGTTTTATAACAATGTGAGAAAGCAAACTGCAGCCTGAGATGAAGGGGGCAGTTGGGGGGGGGGGCGAGAGAAAAGGAAGAAGTAAAGCAAGATTTATTTTCATTCCCCCAAATCTTCCAAGCTGATCTAAGCCTAGTCCTTAACCAACAAAAGTATTTAATTGCTCGAAGTTTAATTTTCCATAATACCTTTAGTCTTCCACTTCTGAACAGATAAGCAATTTTGGCTGGTTTTTCACATCTGTCAGACTTTTCTGTCAAAGAGGCTGAAAGATAACCTCAGACATTTTAAGTTATACTAATGGTGCCTCAATTTGTCTTAGGAAGGGGGGGGGGGATGGTGCTCTGGATGATACAGATCGATGATTTCAGCTGAAACTTGCTCTCATATTTCATCTCCTTCTCCCACCCAATTTGATGGCTGTATCATCTAACTTGGTGAAGCTCACTCTGGAAAGACTTCATTTATCATGAAAATAACAGCAATTAAACTTTACTTTGTCTTGTCAATGAAGTATTTGCTGGCCCATAACTGTGTGGGTTAATCAAGTGTGAGGAGAAGTTTGACATGTACGAGTGAGGAACTGCCAAGGAACCAAGTCTTTACCATTAGAGGAGGTAAATTCACCACTGTGGGTGTAATTCTGTGAATTTGTCTTGCTGTCACAACACTTATTTCAGGTAGAAACTTTTGGAAGAGAGAGGAAAGGAGGGGGGAACCTGTCTCTTATGCAGATAGATAGACTGAGTATCTGGATGCAGGAGAGACATAATTTAGCATGATCAGCATGCCAAATTGTATAGATACCATTTCCACTACTGCAAGCTAAAAATGAGCTACATAGTACAAATAGTATAAGATCCTTGCCAGCAACAATGGAGAGTGACTGTCAGGTGGGAAGGCAATGTCCCTATTTGGGTGATGACTTGGCACTGGTTGATGACAGGACTGTCATGTTACTGCCACAACTTCCTACATAATATCTCCTTATCTTCTCCATAAAACATTTAGGTGGCAGTTAGGAGTTATCCTTGTAAGTACCTCAGTATTTGGTACCCAAAGTATTAGGACCTCAGATTGATTAGAAAGCTGGACTTCCATTCAGATCAATGGGATCACAATTCAGATCACTTCACTCAGCAAAAGGGGGTCAGAATGAGCAAGGAGTGCACCAAATTTCAATTCAATTCAAGGTGCTGGTAATGACCTATAAAGCCCTATATGGCATGGGGTCACATTATTGGAGGGACTGCCTCTCCCCAGTCACATCTACCCATCCCATCAGGTCCAGCAAGAAGGGCATGTTGCAGGTCCCATCCACGGAGGAATGTCATCTGATGGGACCCAGGAGGAGAGCCTCTTATGCTACAACCCACCCTTTGGAACATCACTCCCCCTAAGGTCAGATTGGCCCCAACCTTGCTGGCCTTCTGGAAGGGCCTGGAGACACGGCTTTGCCATCTGGCCTTGGGGCCCAGTGACATTGGTAGAGAACTTGCTAATTGGTTGTATTGTTAGGAAAATGAATGGTGTTCTACCGCTGGTTATTTTTTTATGGTTTTAATTTTTTAAAATTGTTTTAATGTTTTTAAAGGATTCTTGTGATTATTTTTTGGTTATTTTGTTTATCGTTTTCTCTTTTTAACTTTGTGCACCACTCAGAGTCACATATGTGAGATGGGTGGCTATATAAAAGTATCGAATAAATAAATAAATGTGATGTGAGGACATGAGAAGTAAAGCAGCTTTTCCATGTTCAGTGCAATGCTTGAGCATGGCTCATGCTGGGCTACCGAGAAATGGATATTATGGCTTGCTTTAAGAAAGGAGTCCAACATAGTTCATGCTGCTTTCCAGTCTTTTCAGAGCCACTTTTTCTTCCAGCTTTTGAGAAGCTCAGTTTCATCAAGTCATGGGGGAGGAAGCAAGCAGACGGAAGAACGAAGATGAATGAAAGTCAAGGTGGACACTGGACATGACACAGAGAAACACTTGTGAGTTCCACTCATAATGAAAAGCACCAGCTTCATCCCAGTTCCTCTGTATTACTGAAGCACTGGATTTTTTTATGGCTTAGCCTGTGTAATGTATTGCATGGATACAGGAGTCACCATTCATAACCAAGTTCAGTGATGTTGTTTGAATGCAAGCAAAGCAGGTACTAGAGAAGAGGGAGAAATTTATTTACTTCTCATTTGAATATGAATTTATCTAAGTTTGCATTTTGATCCAGGAGTGAAACCAAAACTTAATTATCATTTGAAATCTGCAGTTCTCCAGATTCCCAATCACAAATCACCAACATTTTTTTTTAAAAAAAAGCATATTAGAGGGAAAAAAATAGAACAAAAACTTATTATCTTAGGAAAGGTTAGTTGCATTCCTAGCTGGTGACCTTGAAAAGCTAAGCAGGATCAGACCTGGTTACTACTTAGAAGGGAGCCCACCAGAAAATACCAGAACTGTGGGCTAAACTTGAAACTGGAAGAAATAATCCTAAAAGAAAGCAAACCACTAGAATGTTGTTGCCAAGAACACTCTGTGGACAAGTCCAAAAAGTTACCTGTTTGACTCAGAAGAGACTTGATTTTTATCTGTAATTCTATCAAACAAATTTGCAAACCGTAAGACAGGTTTGGAAAAAATGGGTACCCAAATGCATGCAAATTATCGACAAGATCCTTAATTAAATTCTGAATTCATAAATTCTCACATCTGATGAGCCAAACTTGCTGCATCTGCAAAAATGAGAAGATGGGGAAAAGCAACATGGATAAATTCCTAAGGACACCACCTAGGATCTTATCAACAATGAGTTAAGGTTCTAAAAAATGCATCTTAGGATTTTTTCCCCCCAACAAGGCAGAGGATGGCTATACTGTAAAAGCTTCACACTGGCAGTTTTTGTAGCAAGCATCAAAGGGAAGATGAGTAGAGAGGTTGCCTTTCAGTTCAGAAAATGTGGATGCTCCTTTATGGATGACTTGGATTGTTGTGATCTGGGCACACTGAAATAACAAGATATATGCCTTCTTTGATGGCTTTTTAAAAATTATTATTCTGAGGCTTGCAGTATTGTGCCACAATCTTCTTGGGCAGTGCTGATCCATAGAAGCAGCTTGGTGGGTCTTCTTGACCTTCTTGGATAGCCCTTATTCCAAACCAAACCAAACCAGAAACTCAGCAACATGGGAAAGGGACTTTGTTCTCTGTTGTTTTGCCTCCTCCTTTCCTTGTGCTCCCATCTATAGAAGCCTTGGAGACTTGCCAGGAACCTCTCCTTGCCCTGAATTTTGACATGTCCCAATCACTGCAGAAAATCCTGCAGAAAAATGGGCTGCTTCAGGTTTCTTTCACACTATCTAATGTTGCTTCTGAAAGCACAGTGCACAATTTGGCCGTCACTCCTTATCAGAAAGATAATAGCTAGGGCAACCTTTGCACAATCCATTTTTCCTGGTCCCTGGTAGGTTCATCTCCCTATTTCCCCCAAGAGCAGATTGGACCTCCATAATCTGTGATCCTGGACAATGTCCAGCCATGGGAAAGATTTTTAAAAATGGGGGCTGCTGAAATGAAGAAAGCTTGTAGAAGCCAGGCAAGCTTGTGGGAAAACAGAGGGGTTTTGTGTGAATGCCTGTATGTCAAAAGATGGTACTTTTAACTCATAGAATGGTTTATAACAAAATTGATGTCAATAAGAAGAATGAGATAAGGGTTCTGCTCAAAGAATGTGAGCAGATACATTCAAATAGAGATACCAAGCCAATGCAACTTAGGGATAATACATTGTTGACCAAACAAAATAAGATATATTGACCTGATCAAGTGTTTTTGTCTGTGTGCCCCTTGTTGCTGTTGTAGATGATGATGATGATGATGATGATGATGATGATGATGATGACAACTGTTATCTAAGGAATGGCATTTGGGGGCAAAGGTTTGGGAAGAAAGAATTGATCTTCATTTGAATTGTTTGGATTAACTATATTTAGATCAAAGTGGTTCTAGAGAAACGAGTCTTCTCCATAAAAAAGAAAGAAAAAGAAAGCCAAACAGACAATATTTTAAAGCAGACTTTCTCCAAGATTTACTGTAACTAGCTTAATAATGATATGTCAAACTTTAGATCACATTTTGCTTTTCATTTTGCCGTGATGGGGAGAGATAAACATGACAGAATCATTAAAAAATAAAACTGCCCACTTATCTTTGCCCCACTATCGATGATGGAAGGAAAATATCTGACTAATGAGCTGCACAATGGGTGGAGGGTGGAAATAAATATTTTTGCAGCTGATTCTTTCTTGATCAAGCTGGGTAAAATGTCCTCTCTTTTTCTGAAGAAGAGTCAGGGAAATAAGACATTTCTTTAGAAAGCTACAGGGTAATGGAACAGGCCGGATGGAAGGTTTTGATATGCCCAATTCCAAGGGTTTCAAAAGAATTGTTCAAAAGCTGAAACTGACACC